CTCCTCCCTCCTCTCTCTCTCTCTCCCTCTCTCTCTCTCTCTCTCTCTCTCTCTCTCTCGTTCTTTTCTCTCTTTTTATTTGTTCTCTCATTCATTTCATTTCTTCCTTGAATTCCCTGACCACGATTAAAGATCCGAAACGTCGGCATTTTCCGATGGACACAATTTGCCTTTTTCGATAAAAAAAATAAATTTATAATTTACAATTTATAATTTTTTATAGATTTTTTTTAAGAAAAAACATTCACGTAATTTAAAAATTACTATAGCTCTTGGTTATTTGTCGAAATGAACGTGAATTCTGAACGCGTTGAGATTTTAACGAACGCTCTTTTTTCCATCACTGCGTCGCGTCGAGTTTGATTAGAGTTCGTGGATGCGGAAATCGCTCGTCGCGATGCGGAAATTGTAAAAATCGCCGCGCTGGATCTTCCTCGCACGATTTTATGGTAATTCGCTTCGTTGAAACCGAACCATGACCGTGATCGAGCTTAATTAGCACGGCTATGTACCAGTTTCATGATAGTTATGCAGGGTGTGGCACTATTTGGCTGGGTCACTTTGAATTTTAGAAACTAATATAAAAAGAATATTATTTTATTTTAATATTACATCGGTGATTTTTGCATTAAAGGTAATTAAAAATAAAAAATATTATAATTTCATTATAATATTATATTTTGCAAGATATTTATCTCCAATCAATTTAAAGTGTCTCGAAGATTTCCTTGAAAAAGTACTTTCGTATTTTGAATTTCGAAATAAATTATGTAAATTATGAACATATATTATGAAGCAATTACTACATTTAATCTTTGAAAAACAAATTAATTATCTTAATTAAGATATTTGTTGTATTTGCGCTTAAGAAAGAATTGACAGTACTCTCGAACTGCCAGAACCTTCTTCTTCTGTTATTCCCCAGCTGCGAGAAGTCAGAAATTCCGCTGTGGAATTTCTGGCCTTTCGACTAGCTAAAGTTCTGAAGGAGTAATTACAAAAGGACGAAAGATGAAGAAAAGAAGGGAAACACCCCACTATAACCTCCTTTGCTCCTTAAATTACGTAGTACGGGAAGTGTTGAGAGGGGGGGAAAGGTTTCCGTCAGGTGTGAATCGCGGTCGGTTCGAACTTTTAATTACGCGATACTCAGGATGAGGCGCAGGGAGGAGAAGGAGAGGTGGAGGGGGCGAGAGAAGGTGCTCTGTCGAAGGGAAAAAGAGGTGGAACAGACTTAAGCAGCACTCGAAACTCTCTTCTAACAAGACCGGAAATCTTTCAAGGACTCTCCGGCATTGCGCGACCGTACGCCGTTTTTCAATTAATTAGTTTGCAGTGAAAGAATGACGCTATAATTGCGACTGCCATCTGCAGCGAACGTTAATTCCGCACGCGTATTGCGAGTCACATCGATAGAGATATATTATATTGTACATCGCGAAACGACACCTTCGCTTTTTTTTTTTCTTACGCGATCCGCCGTTTCTTTAACTATTATGAAACGGGAAACAATAATTGCTATTATTTCACTGTCGTCGGCAGGCGATTTTTATCGGCTTGCCAGTTTCGAGTTTCAATGGCAAAAGAATATTTCAAATACTTGTCTATGATCTTGCTCGGTTTTAATGTAAGAATATGCGCAAAAATGTGTTTTCTTTTTAGATTAGAATACTGATAGCGTACTATTCGCAGAGTATGAGCACCCGCAAAGTTTTATCAAAATTGATGAAACACTCACTCTTCGCGAGAGGTTATTTGCACTTATATGCGAGAATGCGAAGTTTTTTCTCATGCTTTTAGATGAAAGAGAATAATCGGAAAAGTCAGAGACTCCCATTGTGTGTGCCATCTATTCCCGACACAGAAAACGCGACGGTGATAATGGCGATCCGTCTTTCTGTTCCTTTTGTTTTTTGGCTTTTTTTAAGCCACCCGAATTAACGGCAATCAGAATTAATTTCTTCGGGAGCGAACAAATGCGCGTTTTAATGGTTTCTCTATATAACGAGTAATCCATTAATGGCCGCAGGCGCTTTAGAAGAATTTATCGGAATTATTTTTCTTTTTCTATAACCGTATTCTTCATGTGAAAGCATTCCGATCTCATATATAAGTAGGTAAAGTTTTCAGTTTTTATGGAGCTTCCAAAGTTCTTTTACTGCGTTTCTTTTACATATATTTCTATTAAAAATTTTTTTGAATTTATTGTCTCGTGCTTATACGGATAATCTTTGACAAAGCAAATTCTGAATTTGTTAAAGAATCTTTAATCATGAGAAGATGCAGACTTTTGAAACAGCTAAAAACATATTGCTTGAGCGACTCAACATATTAAACTGAAAATGAAAAAAGAAGCAGAAGAATAAAAATTTGTTACACATTTACGAAAGAGCCTGAATTGTAAAACTACAATTATTGTGAATAAAACTTTGACAAAGACTAATATTCAAGAACAGTTTGAAAGAGAACTCGAAAGACTTCATACAGTGCGGAAGAATGAATCGAAGAGCGTTCTGCAGATCGAGGAGATGATTTGCTAACGATGCTGCTTTAAGTTTAACAACTCGAGAAACGAAGATGTGCTGCTCAGGTGGACCAGGTGGAATCACATTGACCAGGTGCGGTGTCATATGCGGTCTCGCCGCGCTGACGGCTCTCAGCGTCGCTCTTTTGGGTCCGACCTGGCTCCACACCGAGGAGAAACTCATACTGCCAAATCTACCCAGAAATTACGCTGATGTAATCAGCGTGAAGTTCAAACTGGGACTCTTCAGAGTCTGCCCGAGGATCGTGAAACCATCGAATTTTTCAATCCGTGAGTAACGATTATTGTTATTACAGTGAAAGAAAAACAATAATGGAACAAAAACTTCCATAACTCTAAAAGTTTTGCTATTGTGACACAAGTGATTTTGTACTATCTAGTGGTATATTATTCTATTATTTATAAAAAAGATCTGATTTCTAAGAGATAAAAAATTGGGTTTATAATATTTTACAAAGTTTTTTTTTAATTCTTAAAAAATGTTTAAAATGAAGTATATATTTAGATTAATTTATGATTTTACAATCTATTTTATTGTGCAAATTAAATTCTACAAGAGAAAGACTCTTGTAACGATAATTTGTTAAATATAATAATGGCTACCGAATCGTCGCGGTTGTTGATGCAAAATAATTTCTTTTTATATTGAAATTATTCGTCTACATCGAGACATTAAAATGTATATCAATTGATTGAGATACTTAGCGTGTACGAAAAGTTAAGTACATCAATCTCACATCGAAAAATCAGAATGTACAAATTAAATTAAAAATGGAATCAGAATGTACAAATTAAATTGGAAGAGCGAGAGAAACATTTTATTGTGATTTTAGATTACAATATCATTTCGAGATATAAATTCTTTTATACAATACGCAGCCTGTTTTACGATTAATACTCAAATTTTAATGAATGTTATAAAAGATCGCGAATACTTCGAGAAGTTTATAGTTCATTCCGTGAGAGTTTGATCTCACTCCGGCTCGGGATCTCGTGGGCCATTTCTTCTGTTTTCTCGACGAAATCTTGCAGTACGATGGCGAAGGATTTTCACGAACGAGGAGGAGTAAACGTAAAAACAAATGACAGCGTTGTAAAGAGCGTGGACGGAAGAAAGAGACCTAGGGGAGAGAACACCCGCGGGCGCGGCGCGGTTACAAGGGCGGTTGCAGCCACCCGGATGATGACAATTCTTTTTTATTTCCTTCGCAGCTCCGTCTCGCTCGCGCAGGCTCTCGACTTTTATTTCTACCGTCTACCTTTACTATTTTTCCACCCTTGGTGGAGCTCTACTATGCGGAATCATCTCTAGACTTCACGTGCATGAAAGTATAAATGTATTCCGCGATCGAGCGATCCGTCCTTATTGCTCGCGCTCTCTATCAGGCTGCTGTTTTTTAAAAATTGCACGGTTGTTCTGTTATTATTTATTCACAATGATGGCTGCTATGCACGGTCGTAACATCCATCAGCTTGATGAAACATTGTATTGCGAGAAAGAAGCATTGTTCTTCTAGTTTTCAGTTTTGGGATTTAAATAATTTCGTTTAGATTGAACAAACTGTGATTTTTATTTTTATTTCTAATTTTATTTTGAAAATACAAATTTAATAAATAATGTAGGATACTTATGAATCAAACGACATAATTCTATTTAAAATTTTATCAGAACAATTTAGTTGAGATAAAGAAGTTTCTGATTCAGAGAAATAGTAACAAAAAGATTAAAGAAGAAAATTAAGAAGTTAAAAGAAATTATTAAATTTTGATGTACAAAGATTGAAATAATTTAGATTAAAAATGAAATGGAAAATTAAAGTTAGTTGAAAACTTAATTTAACGATATTAAGTAAAACATAATAAGTTCAAATAAAATATCAATAAATTATAAATTAAAATAAAAACTGGTTATTTATACCAAACGAGAGATGTATCTCGATAAAAGATAATTATCTAATTACATTGGAAATCTGTATACATAACAAGTTCATAACTGAGCCATTCTTGCGCGTATTACTTGTCGATTAATAAACACATAGTTTTATTTGCAACAATACATTAATAATTAACATTTAAATTACGAAAACAGCACTGGAAATCGATTTTTATTGCGCAATTGTTTGATTAATAATTTTCGAAATATAGCTATTTTCAAAAGAAGAGTTTAGCAACACTACATCTTCGAAAGCATACAATTCTGCTTAAACATATACGTCGTATTAATTTTATATTTTAAACAAATATTAGTAATAAATTTCATATTTTTATTCCTGTTGAGTTCACGCTTGATGCAAAACAAAATAATCCCGATGTTATTTTCCTTCGATAATTTGCAAATGTTCCGGAAGAGCTTTAGAAATTGATTCGCTTGAACCCTGCTGAAAGCTTTGGGATGCGTCATAGCTGATGACAGTAACTGAATTAAAGTTGAAAGTTTGCTACGGAAAACTGTAGGAAATGCTATCGCCAGGAATGAGCTGGGTCGCCAGCAGTAAGTAGTCGGTGCTCAAGGCCGTGTCCTGTCCTGCCGTAGGGAATCGCGCGCGAGTTATTAGTTCAAATGAACGGGTGAGAACAGCAAGGAAATACTTTTAAGCTCGGATGGTGAGAAACGGGCTTTGCCACTCTCCGTAGAGGCTCAAAGATGGCGGGTATCAACCGTCTCTTCGTAAATCTTTCCTTTCGGAGTAATTCTTGCGAGTGAAACTCCATCAGTGTATAATATTTATCAGAAAAAGAATCTAATTTCTTAGATACGAAATACAAGATTCCTAACATTTCAAAGATATGATATTTATATTACTTTTGAAAATCTCCGCTTTGCTTACAATTTTTTAAAGATTTCTGATTTGTTTTCAATTTCGTAGTTTAATTTAAATTAATTTGTAATTCTATAAATTACATATTTTATTTTATTAATTTCTTGACTGAAAATTATTACTTTTTAATTTCGATTATAGTGTTTGTGTATAGTTATGTGTTCGCACTTGTATGTATGTGTAATTATTTGATTACATTTTATTAATTAATTACTTAATTTAAAACGCGAAATGCGAGTTTATATTAACCTTCATGAAAAAAAACAGTTTTGATATATTTTAATTTACTGTTTTAAATTAATATTAGTATAATTTATGTCAGTCTGTAAATACAAATTGCTTTGTCCCAATTTAGTATACTTAATAATTCATGTTAATTGCTCTTTACAATTTATCGTTGTAATACAGTAGGTTCTCTATCATCTACAATTATAATTCACGATAATATGTTGTATCATCGTATTTTAGTTTTTAAATTATTTTGAAAAAAGTGGAAGTTGAAGCGAGCGCAATCAAGGTAGAAAAAGGCGACAAACGAGCAACTGTCCGTAGCGGTATTCTGTCGATCTCGCAGACTAACGAGTTCTTATTATTCTTGCTATCGCGTGGAATTTGGTTCAAAGGCGATAAACACAAGGATATAGAATAGGAATGCTTGAAAATCTAAAGCCACCGCAGCTTACAATGATGACTAATTTTTGTGACATTAAATTAAGCATTCCGTAAACGTGTAATAATACGTTGACAAAAAGTTTCGACATCTCTAAAAATTTTATTAATTAATTGAATTAAAAAATTGATGTAAAACTGGCACGCATATGTGTAGAATACGTGTGATATAATTAATCATTAATACATTTGAAATATTAGAATATATATTTAATTATATAATTAAATTACGTCATACGCAATAAAACTAATAACATATATGTTAATAGCATAAATGTAACTAATAATATAACTAATAACATATATGTTATTAGTTTTATTGCGTGTAACGTAATCACACAATTACTAGAATTGTAATATTATTTATTAATTAAGTTTAAATAGTCTACAATCTATATAATTTATTTAACTTATTGCAATTGTTATTTTATTACGTTTATTATCTCATTATTATTATTATTTAAACTATTAAAGTAAAATTATATTATCTTACGATCAAAGCTCTGTGATTAATAATGTGATGTTAATTATAAATCATATTTTTCTGGCGTTAGCTAATTAAGTAGAGTAAACCTAAATTGATTAATTATTTCGCAAATTAATTAGGCTCTGGGCTTTCGCCGTAACATAATATAAAATTTTGACAATAATAAATTTGACAAGAATTTTGTATTCGAAAAATCTAAAAGAGAATTGTTTGAACTAACGCGTGTCAATAGTCAAAGCAAGATTAGTTACGCGAATAGCAATTAATTACTGTCTTTATAAAACTGCGGGACGCCAACAATTTGTCTTCATTACTAGCGTGACTTATCGAAGGGTCACAAGAGGATGAAAAAGGTGTAGAAAAAGGAGAAAAAGATATGGGAGGAAAGGAGAGAAGACACTGAGAATTTTCACAGTATATGTAAAACCGGCTAAAAATTTTCTAAAAACAAAAATTCAAGTTTTTAGAAATATAATTCTGTTAGAATTATATTTGAAACAACTGGAACAACGAATTTATCGTTAATATAAGACAAAGAACGAGAAAGTATCTGATTCTCGCAAAATTTTACAGATATAAAATTAAAGAAGAAAATAAAATAAACTCAGATGACAAATAAATAAAATAAATAAATTATTAATGTAAACATAAAAAGTTAATGCACGCAAATATGCAAATTGTCTAATCGCCATGCTACTCCGCTTTTGTCACTTAAAAAGGAAATTTGGCACTTGCGGTATAAATCGCGAGTGCCAGGGTCGGTGGCGTGCGGCAGGATAATAAGGTTATTTGTAATTCCAGGACCGGCTGATCAAATCTTCCTAATTTCCTGGATCTGCTCGCTTAAAATTCCGCTCGCAGGATACGCCTGTTCTTTGAAATTGTTGCGGAAAGTGTCTGGAATTACGCCGTAGAGAGAAAGCTGGCATGGCCATGAGAACTCGAAATAATGATCGGCGCTGCATTAATTTTTAATGCTTTCCGCTCTGTGAATCGTCTCGAGACTCGAGAATAACCAATTCATGCTCACATTATTATTCCTCTTCAAAGAATATCTACAATGATATTAGACATTATTATCTATAAATCTTTTTTTTTATGCTGAATAAAATATAATTCTTGCCTTGACATCAAACTTCTATGCAGTGTTTTGAAATATTTTTAAAATAAACAATTAAAAAATGATAATAAGATGATAAGATATAAATATCTTATTATTTATTATCTAAATATTTGCAACCAAATTTATTTTGTTAACTAAAAGTCCTAACAATATATTTAACTTTAAATGATAA